AGAGAAAGGGCAAACCTTATTAACGAAAGACAAACAGCTTTTGTAAGCCCAGTACATTCTAGTAGAACGTATTTATATAACAACTCAAAACACTCTACTCAGTGACAATAGTAATTAAAATATATTAAAATAGCAATGCTTGATGATTCATTAACGTTCCTTATTCGATAAAGGTATTTTCGTTTTGGTATTAACTTATACCCAAAAATATCGTTTTACACTCGTCGTAACCAGCATAATTTTCCTGTTTTTCCCCCCAAAAAGTACTGCTAACATAATTTGCACTTTTGGCTAGTTTTGCAGCACAGAATTGTCATTTATTCATCATCCAACCAATTTTTTTGACCCGAGATAAGTGTTGTCTGCTTATTGTCGCATTCATGGGACCTGGGTTCAACAAGAAGTGCGCATAGCTCGGTTACCCATAATGGAGTCCGTGTGCTTTTTATATTTATCAGAGAATGAATTATGCACTCTTAAAGTTTCTGGCTGTCACTAGGGTAAATATGTTTGCCATTTATATTTGTTCCTTGCAAAGTTATCGAGGTATTTTTACCAAATTTGATATAAAAAGTAGACGCATAATTTCTGCTTGCGTGAAATGACCGTAATTTGCAAAAACTAGCATATATATTGGCATAATTTTAGAAATATACGAGCACTGCGTAGTAGCAAATTATGCTACTTTTTTAGCCCAATCTATCAAAGCTTAGATGGAACCCCTCCCTACAGTTTTTGATATTTTGTAGTATATCGAAAAGATTTTACCTTCGATATTCTAAACAAGATGAGGAATATTTTACAGGTGATGGTGCTGCTGGAGGCCTGTGACGTCAACAAACATTGTCGCTATTCTATCCTAAACATTTGAGAGACTGCAGCAGTTCTCGATCGATACGATCGAGGATAAACATGTCAAAAATCCAAGATTGCTAACGTAATTCGTCATCCATGATATTAATAGGTAATCAAATGGTATACTCGTGAAATTAGGGAATAATTTCACTTGCGTTTTGTCCAAATCCTAATAATTTCCCTCGCCTGAAGGCTCGGGAAATTATTTGGATTTGGACAAAACGCGCGTGAAATTATTCCCTACTTTCACTCGTCACCATTTGATTACACATACGAATTAGAAATCTGGTAAAAACGCTGAGAATTGGTAATTTCTTGTGCTTAACATGTAAAATAACACATAAGTACTTTGCTTCATTTTACCCACAAGCTTTACTTGTATCGTTGAAAGAAGTTGAAAAAACATGCATTTTCACTCAAAAATAGCTTGATCGCCTGCTATTTATGACGTCATGTTTCGTAACCATAGTAACTGTTCATCACTAAACTTGTCTCAAAATGCGCGTGTGGAATAAACAAACAGGCACTGATAACGTCAGTATCGTCTTAGGAAAAAACTCACAGGAACTTCGGAGGGGCGGGGTGGATGCCAACCCCCTCCTCCCCCCCGCTCCTTTTGTGCGTCCGAGGGTTAAGTAGATTTCTAGATTGCAATGCAGTGAAAGTCTAAATAAGTGAATACGGAAAACGGTCAATCGAACAATCGAACAAGCCCTTATTGTCTAACGACGTTGGTATCCTAAATTATAATTAGTCCCTTCCGATATTATTGATGGAATATAACTAATGCAAAGTCACGAGGTCTCTTTAGGGATATATGTACCACCAGTCGTGGTTGAGTTTTTTTTTTCTACAACAACGAACGTTAATTCAATGTCATAGACCGATAACATTCCGTTCGTAACCAGAGTTTCCTGGCTGGATGGTCAGCGGGCGGTCGATGACCAAAAGCCCAGAAAAAAGAATAGTTACCGCAGCTGATTACCAGTACAATCTGCAAGATTTATTTAACTGTTGGCTCAGTATATTAAAGAATCAATCTAGAATTGATCTCGCGCTCGGCGCCCGCGCTAAATCGAATGCTGGCGGTACAGTTCAAACAGGTTTTAAATCAAAAGAAGCACGCGCGTTTTGTAGGCTTTTCAACAAAAAAATATA